GCAAATCTTTGATACATGTATTGTTTTAAGCTTACTTTGTACTCGCTTTTTCTGGATCGAAAGAAAGCTATAGAGAGAATTACGACATCAGCAAACGCAAAAATATAGACGCAAAAATACAAATCAAATCGACAAGTTACCGTAATCCACAGCAATGCCGCAGTACAACTTTGACTTGAGATCCTTATTCTGCCCTCAAAGGTTTCGTAACAGAAAGAGCAAAGCCTGGTCGACAATAATCTGTACCATACTGCTTATAAACTGTCGTCGCTTGTTTTCAGCTCTAATTTACTCGATTTAAGGAACTATAAGGATCCTAAAAATGTTCTGTACGGGATATAAGCTAGGTTACGGTAGCACTCACATAAAATGCTGCACACGGAATCATTATCGTCGAAGTTCCAAATTCGCAATACTTTGCATTTCCTCTACAGCCGTCTACAAATCTCATCTCAAAAAATCTACTGCATGGCTTTCGCTAGCGAGATTAGTGAGTTGAGGGCTAAGGGTGCCGTGTGTCCTCTTCTCCACTCATAATTGAACGTCGTCTTCGTCACCGAAAGCCGCGACAGCACATTTGTATGCAAATCCAATCCAACCGCCGTCTTTCAGCCAGTTAAACGGAATTTTCAACACACTTTGTACACCTCGAGAAATAACAGCGCATTCAATGCGGGTGGTAAACACTTACGATAACATTATCCGTACGAAAAAGGGCTTGCATTCAGACATTTTGAATAGTAGGGGGCGCAAAAGCGGCACTTTACGCTTGAGAAACCAAAACTGTAAAGGCGTAATCGCGACTTGAACTTTCACAACTGACGATTGCACAAGAGGGTTAAGACTTGTAAGAATTTATAATGACGTGATTACGCGAAAATTCAACATAAAGAAAGTTGTGAGCACCAGTCTCGGACCAGAAGGAAAACCAGAAATCGATGATCACAAGATTAGTGCAGTAAGCTTTTACTTTCAGGATTTGCTATAATTTGCTATGACTGCCATAGCGATCAAGGTACATGTAATGAAGGCGAATGTGAAGGACTTGTATGCATCAAAATGGAAACGTCAAATAAGGACAATGGTGAGTCGAACAGAATTGGAAATCTTTAGGCGTCGAAGGATGCAACGAATTTGATGCGATAAAAACAAGTACTACAAATTCTTCAAAAGCATCATGCATATAAAGATGCGATATAGCTTGTAAGCTCTAGCTTCTCTGAATGTCCACGCTGCTACAAACAAGATCTGGATTTGAAAATGACAGATTAGAAGTCTCTGTTATCCTCAAAAACCCGTCCTCAATGCTGTTAGCTGGAAGACTTTGTTCAGCCCCACCAAGATGCAGAAGATTACGTGCCAAAATGTGCAAAAAATTTGCTAACTACTATGACGATATATCAGATGCAATTTTTAGACCGGAGAACAATCCAGAAAACCTGTGGCGATGAACATGAAGAAGTCTCCTGTCAACAATCCGGGTTTGGTAGCAAATGGATGTCGCGATGTGTTTGCGACACTCCGCTGTGCAATGGCGATCAGGTAAGAGAAACAAACTTTTTTTGAGAATAAGTATGGTTTATGTTTCAAATTTGAATGAAACAAGAGAGATGATGCATTTTTCTAGCAAAACGTGGCTTATATAAGTAATCTCGAGTCATTTGTAACTTAATATGTGAGATTGCACACTAAGCCCTATTAGCGACGGCACCCATACTAGTAACTTCCCAGTAAAACATTTTCTGGTCCAACAAAATGTAGAAATGTGTTCTACTGACTAACATGTAATCAACTAAAAAAAGAAACAAGAAAACAAGGAGAAATCGCTGAAAATGAGCAGGTTCTAGTTTCGCAGTTCGTCAGTTAGCGCGTATAGTGTGCACTACGCACAATAAGCTACAAATGACTCGACGATACATCCCGGCGATGTCTACTTAATATAGGTAACTTTCATGTAAATCTTCACTAGAAGGCTTCAAATAAGCTTCTGCATGATTCATTCATGGCCGAGAAATGCAAGTATAAACTCTCGTCAACTATGGTAAGCCTCCGCTTAGTCTGCTCGGAAAGAGTACGGTCTGGGTAAGAGTTCAAAGCTGCCGCGCAGCCGGGACATTGCCTTATTTGAGGCCTCCTAAACTTTCGTCCACAAAAAAACACACCCAGATATGGATACTACTCCTAAACGTTCAGAAGCACGACTCCAAATTTTCAAAATTAAAATAACTGCAAACTTTCCAGGCTCTTATTGATGCTGGTTTGGAACCGTCATCGGCGGCACCACCACCGGGACAATTCACGCAATTTGCTCTGCTCATTGCAATCCTCGTTTTCGTTGGCGCCAGCTGCTCACTAATTGTAATTGCCACAGTTTGTGTGCAATTTTGTTGAATTCAGATATTACCGTCGTCCAATCTTATCAACTTACTATTTTGCTATTGTAAGCGCACTTCTTGATGGACATAATGAACTAGATCTTAGGAAAGCTTCATAAATTAGTTATTTTACAAAAATGCAGCAGACGAAATTAGGCCGCTAAACGAAAAATACGTGTGATTTGTCACTCTTTGATTAGATCTCAACTATCTGACTCATCAAAGTATAACATTTTATAACGTAGGCCCCATAACGTCTTTCACTTATGATACAGGCTTTATTAATATAGTAGTAGGAGATCAGCTGTAGAATAGATCCCATATATATAGCTAGCTTGTAAAATGCTCTCATTTTGCGTTTTTCTCTATGGCCCCGGACAGACTTCACGCGATTTGATCGCCGCGACTGAATCGCAACGAGACAACTGTTACAACATCATTCCATGCCGATCAACTTGCATTTCGGTTGTGATGCTTTTCCAGCCTGAAATTTTTGAATGTGAAATGAAATGGAAATGCCGCCGATTGAGTCGCGACGATCAAATCGCGTGAAGTCTGTCCGCGGCCTATCACCACATCTAAATTTCTCCTTCCCAATGTGATGTGCACTAATGACATATTTTTGTTATCAGGTCTTGTTAATTCATAATTACGTAATAAAATTTTGTATAATCGCAATAACGGACTACGTTGCTGTGCAAGTACACGATATACAATACTTCTAGCTTCGATGGGCCTGCAATTTTAGCTTGCGATGAACAGTAGGTTGTTAACTATGTTTTGCAACTGAGTCCGTAACTTTTCGCTTTTTTGATATTGGCGCTCAAATTTTGGTATTGTATAAACTGCCCTGCGAGCTATAAACGCACAAACCGCTCGCTTTCAATGATAAAATAAAAGAAATCAGAGTTTTTCGAAAACTAGTGAAACTCGAGAATTCATAGAGTTCAAAGTGAAAATGAAGCCGCTCTTAATCTAGATCTGCACGACAATCCGAAGTGTGCATAAATTGTTGCTAGAGGTTGATTCATCTAGTGCAGTAAGGAAGAAATGGAATCCGAAGACAACTCAAGATTTGGCGCCCTCACAAAGTTGAATGAGCCGTTGTACGCAAAGCTGCTTGGGGATAAGCGTCAATCGTTAAGAAGATGAAGTCACAGAACTCGCCAGAACTTTGCACTGGGATTAGTTGCACTGCCGAATACAGATATCACATCCATTTATCTAACTAACGCCTTTCTTGTTTAGCGGACCCAACCAACTGCAACCCTTAACATGCGTACCAATATATCATTTTCGTGATCAGAAAGTTTCAGCCAAATTTATAATAATTTATAAATTTTCCCCTTATACCATATACCTACCGTAACCTTCAATGCGACAGAATTTTGCAGAACTGTGGCTGCGCTTGTAGCTTACGTCACCACCTACATAATGGAAAAGTTTGAGTGAGTCATATGCAAAAAGAGAGAAGTTATAAGAATAGTTGCAAAAGTTAGTTAACAACCTAATAAGAAGGAAACAAAATGGATTTGCGAAATTCTGATTATTACGGAATGTGGCTGATGATTTTCCATAAATGTTCCGGATTAGATCAAAAACATAGAGGAGATAGCAAACCAGAGTAATGTGATCCCGTATGCCTTTGATTGCATTCAAATTCCAAAACGAATGATTCAATCTCACTTTTTTATATCTGTGAGAAATTCACGACCGCGATCTCTTTCAGCAATTGAACTTCACCAGAATCACTACATTTTTCATATGAATAAATGAAGTCAAGTCGAGCATTCCACTTAACCATCGTGATAAGCGCATCTGTGAAGTGCTCGACACCTTGCGATCTACGTGTTGAACCAATTATGCCTTCACCCACCCCTTACCTGCAATATAGTTAGTCATACACCGCATAAGGAAAAACACAGTCCGGAAAGCATACTTGTTCGTTGCCTCGCGACTGACCACACATCCGTTTCTGCGAAGCAATGAAGCATGCGCAGACAGAAAACAGTTAGAGACCTATTTATGTACCTACGAAAGGGGCAAGGCCATTGAAGTGGAGTAGGGGAGGGATATTACGTTTTACAGAACTTAGAACAGTAATGCAAAGCATTTGTACGACATACGACATGCCAACTAGGCGCTTTTTCAGACTGAAAAATGCCAACGACCACAGGAGGTGGAATAATGAAAAGACCAGCGAATAATCCTGATGGTATGAATCGGGATCCATCCAATACAAAGTAGGGTCAAAAGTCATGCCAGTAACAAAAAAAAAATGTTTGAAAAAATTCTTTTGCTAGTTTGAATTGATACAATTGAATCTTAGGTGCAAGAACTAGTTCGGAAAGATAAATCGCGAAAGAGCAAGATAATTCGTGGATTTTTTTCCAGCTGTTTTTCGTTATGAAGGTGGGAAGGTCGAAGAAGAGGTGAACAATAGACAATGAGAAGAATGGAGAATTCAGGACTGAGTTGCTTGAGGGGATGAAGATAGCAACAAGATAAAATTCCTTCTACAAGATGGAGCAGCGCCATACGTTGAACGAATTTGAAATGATAAAAAAAGAAGAGACATCAACTAGTTCGAAGAAGACTACAAAAAATATTGTAAATTCTACTCACCTAATGATAGCAATGCAGTGTTGCATTTTCAGCTCTTCCATTTTCATCCACTTATTTTCTTCACCTACAACCTGCAGCTCAGCTATTGCCAGACGGATTATCAAGTCTGAGCACGATATGGCCACCGGTATACTGTTGCCCATCCTCAAAACACGACAAATACAGGGTGTCCCAAAAAAATGTTTAGAATGATCGTTAATATCTCTCTTCCCAAGAAGTCTTTTGCCTTGCTTCAGGTACCGTTTTGTAGAGCTGGCTTCAACTTAGATTTCCATTATAGAACGAATCACCCATCTCTCTACATTACTGTAGGATTACGGTAGAAACTTGAAACATATGGTGTCAATGTGGAAAAGGCTGCCGTTTCAAAATTTTTCAAAAAATTGTGAAAACTTGTGTAATAGGGTTTTTATAGACGCTGAGTTCAATACTCAATACTATTCACAAGATTACGAAGCTTTCTAAACGATTTAATCGCACTTTTTAGGAACATTGAAAAAAAGGCTGCTACCTCTCACCTGGCATAACTCTTCAATGAAGCATCATAATAAGTTGGGAACTTTACAGTTATAATCAGCAATTCTAATTATCCTGGCGTAAAAGTTTTCAGGCTGTTTTGTTTCCTTTCTGAGGCAAAATATGGCCTTTCATGGTTCAAAACCCTCTTTGAAGTTTCTACCGTAGCCCTACAGTAATGAAGAGAGATGGGTGATTCCTTCTATAATGGAAACCTAAGTTGAAGCCAGCTCTACAAAACGGTACCTGAAGCAAGGCAAAAGACTTCTTGGGAAGAGAGATATTAACGATCAAACGTTCTAAACATTTTTTGGGACACCCTGTATAATTTCAATGAGAGCTGCCAAAAGTTTTTTTTTTCGAAATAGCCAGGTGAATGTGAGATCCTGCAATTTGGGGTTTCAAACAAATTTTATATACTCGATACGACTACAGAACTTGTATGCCAAAACGGCCAATTGAGGATCTTGGATTGTACACATCGCTTTTGTTTACCTGCACTTCTCGCTTCAAAGGCACCGTCCACCCAAAATTTCGACCTCCATGTTTTTGTCGTTCCAGGGCCTTCTCATACCCGTGATTCCGAATATCAAGTCGGAAATCCGTGAAAACCACAAAAAAACCCCTGTTTTCAGCACCCGCAGAGCGATTTCTTCGGAACGGTGATTGGAGGGACGCGTACGGATGAGCGTGACGAACACCACGCCCACCCGAAAGGGGAGGAGCCAACGTGGCGAACCGTCACCTGAAGCGATTTCCGAAGCAATTTTCTCGCTTCGGAAGCAACTTTAGGCAGCGCGAGTTGGGCAATCATACAGTTGGGGGCCTCGCAGCTGCTAGGTGTTACAATTTCACCAACCCCAGTTTCGGTGGACGGTGCCTTTAAAGGCAGTGGATCAGCAGAATGGACCCATCTCTTTTGGTCGATTTACCTAGTAGACCCCCCAAGTACATTGTAGCCCAAGTCCCATCTGCCAATTCATGCGCTAAGTCCTGAAAAATGCGCTTCAACAATCCACCAGCCCCGCCCCTTTCCATTGAGTGGGAGTTTTGAAGCGCATTTTTCAGGACTTAGCGCATGAATTGGCAGATGGGACTTGGGCTACAGTGTACTTGGGGGTCTACTACCTAAATCGACCAAAATTCGAAAAGAGTCCATTCTGCTGATCCACTGCCTTTCAAGGATTCACCATTTCGCTCGTATATGCATCAACTTTTGTAGTCGCAACTTGCGCATCCTTCGCTCTTGGTAATTGCCTAATGCGTTTGCGCGTTTACCATTTTCTCATAAGATTCTTGAGACAACATTCACCTGCTTCGCCACATTGAGAGGATTGCTAAACATTCTTTCAGTTCGTCAACATCTTCACTCTGGAATAACGTACGTACGCGATTCCACTCTGGCCTACAATTTACTTCATAGTTTTTACGAAAATCAACCATTCAACTCCACAGTTACAAAAACTTACGCCGTATACGGTACCCGAAAGCAGGCATTACTCATGAGATAACAAGACTGCAAAAAACAATTCAAAGAGATTTGGAAGAGTCGAGCGAACAGTTTAAAATTATGTAGCAAGTTTGTACATCCAATCAGAAACATCAGGTATAGTTTTCGAAGTCACGATCCACACCGTCAAAATCTATCAAATAAATCAGTGCAAAGGCTGAAAGCTTTAATCTTCAAACGAATCGACAAACTAATGAAAGACGTCTAGTTGTCATTAGCACATATCGATTATCGGAATACTATACGTACTATGCTATTACGCTTCGAACTCCTATAAGTTCCCGTAAATGGAGATCTAACGTCAAAAATTCTCATATAGACAATGCTAGCCTCAAGGGCAAGTTCTACATGTGCGACACATACGGGAGGATGAAACAATTCTGAGATGACAAGAATGGCAAAAGTATATGAAGAAAGCTAGGTTTGACTAGATTTCACATGAGGTATGATCTCCTGCGCGTAGGTGTATGGAGTCCACACTGACGCCACAAGTCCTTTCTTATTAACAGTAGGTGAATTCGGTCCATATCTAAATGAAGTAAAATAAAAGAGGAAAATCCTTCAGATGCCGCACTAGAACAGCAGTAAAAGAATTAGCTAAAAGAAAAGAAACATACTGCAGTGGAGTTCCCTCCAAATCAAGCATAGCACCTCCCATTGCACGAAGTATAGCATCCCCCGCACATGTGTCCCATTTCTTTATAGCTGTTTGATGAATGTACAGTTCTGAAAACAGAATACGCTGAGACGAAAAGGTACTCAGTAATTTCACGACCGTCAAAATCAGTTAGAGAGTAATGCGGAAAAAGATTTCATAGCGATAACCTCACCAGCTGTCCCATTAACCAATCGGAGTGTCTTGTAACCACTACCACCGGCTGGCTCTACTTTAAAACGATCTCCAAAAGATTCTTGTGCCAACTTTTCAACATCACCAGCGTGGGATCTAAAAAGTGCCAAAATTGAAATTGAGAGTAAAAGTGCTGTAATAACAAAATAATTCAAACTGACCTTGAAACAACGATCTTTGTTATGGTTTCAGCGGGAAGTTTGGGGTGAATTTTCTCACCAGACGATGTCATCACTCCCCAGCCTTTCACTCCAAAAACTGCAAATTATGATCTAAGTAGGAAAAAACAACAAAAAATGGTAATGACGAAAGAAAAACAAAGATCGAAAACATCAATGCAAAAGCATAACTAGTATGCACATGGTGTACACAAGCAAAATCAAATTAACATGCTATAAATTACTCGAGCCTCATCAAACTTTAAATAAGAGTTCATCACCTACTAGTTTCATTGGTGAATGGCCTAAATATCGCGCCAAATATGGGTTCATCCTTGACCGTGATACACGCCATTACCGTTACATATTCGGTTAGGCCCTCTGAGTAAAAGTTGACATTCAACGCTGATGTGAACGAAGCTTTTTACCTGTATACTCTTGCGTTGCGTCTAGCGGATCTACGTACATCTGAACGTCAGAGAGCGTCAGACGATAGGATGGAATTTTGTCCAAGATGTCGCGAATCGACAACCATACCGAATAAGAATCAGCACGATAAGGTGCAGCGTCTTTTTCACTGATAGACGTATCCTTTTCTTCGGTTACTACCTGGATATATAATCTACACTCAAGCAAAAAAGAAACAAAAAACAACCTTCAATCGTGGAAATCGCTGCAAAACGTCCAGTATAAGAAAGTTAGACACTAGATCTGCTTTAGTTAACAGCTCCGCCTTCCCCTCATCTGTTAGTCCTTTTTGAGCAATATTCAACACTGCAAATAAGATGTGGTTGAGAATCTCTAGAACAAGTATTTCTAACTGCTCACTGTTCTCATCGTGAATCTTGCGGACTGCATAACCACCCATTTCAACTGCTAGCGTTGCATAACTGAACGAAAATTATACATATAAAAATCAAAAGATTTACAAGAAAGATCATCTCGGAATCATCTTGGACATTCTCATTTCTAAATTGTGTCAATACTTCGCTTTTAGACGCCTGAAACAAGTGGAACCGGATTTTGTTATCGCAACAATCGCTGTTCGCTGCGCAAGTTGCGCTAAGCAAAAGTTTCAGGCTGTTGCAAACTCTTTTATACTTGAAGTAAAACGCGTTTTTTCTTTCAATAAAATCTGAGAAAAGGCTATGAAGTCCTTAACTTTTGAAGAGATTGTAGCAAAAGAATGAAATTCTCTGAACTACTCGATCTGGACTTTGATTGCAATAATGGCTTAATAATAAACTTTCGGTAGCACCAACCCTACCCATCTTCTACTCCATTACTGTCAGAACTACATAATTGAGGAAACAACTCGCAAACTACTCAGTCATCGAAACAATCTATCTCATCTCATTCTGTAAAACTTCCGCTATGAGGCAAATTCGCGAAGAATGGGTCAAGGGACAAATGAAAAAAACTATTATTTATGTTTGAGCTCGAGCGGGAAGGAAAATGCAAAAAAGTAGGCAGAGATGAGGAAAACATCTCTCTGTGTATATATTCAAAGAAAATAGTAGAATCTTACCTTACAACACTACTAAGATCTACATCTATCTCTGGAAAGCCATCACCAGCTTTGAAAAATATCAGATATGCGAGGTAGAGAAATCCGATACCAATGACTACCGCGAAGGTATTCCGAGCATGCAGACGGACTTGCATATTCGTGGCAGGTTTATCCTAAATTGTATATGCTAAGGCATAGGACCACACACATTCAAAAGCGCAAAGCCCTTCTAGCACTTACCAGTGGTGAATACATAATTTTTCAAACTATCGATTTCCAGTACAGCTAAGCGCGATTGTAGCGAATGTAGAGAAACAGTGCGATGTGGATTAACCGTACCTGTAGTGCTTAGCGCACCAAGCCGTATATAACAATGGACGAGCGGGGCCCGCAAAATCCGTAAGAGCGCGAACAGCGATCAGATCGCAGTGAAGATCTATGATGACATCTTCGAGCCTAGCGCACACTATAGAGGAAGCTCGATTGTTGATGTCGAATATTACTCAGGAGAAAAAACTTCAGAAATATCCGGCTTCTCTAACCGTCAAAATCATATAAGTCGTAAAGAGAAAAATAGTTTATTAACTTGATTACCAGTAACATTACACCAGTGATTCGGACTGAACACTAACCACAGATAAATAAGTTTAACGTCTAGAGCAAAAAGTGCTAAGGAAGTAGCTGAGAGTTATTGCAGTTGATGGGAAAAAGTATGAGCAGAAGAAGATGAAGCCAATTCAGTGAACAAACAAAGACAGAGTAACATACTAGACAAAAACTGATGGTCTTCAATCCTTCCGGTATGCATATTTTTGAGAGAGAATGAGTGAGAAGTGAGTAACACTAGAATGAATGAAAATGTCATAGATGTGAGATTCAACGCGACGCCAATTGATGTCAAAGTTATGTCTCGAAAGTAATAAATCCCGTACGGCATTGATAAGGAAAGAAGAGGCAGGGTATATTGACAGCAAAAAGTATTTCATTACAAACACATGAACTGAAACAGTCAAAAGGCCTATGCAACGGTTTCCCTTCCAGTGAGATCGGTAAGTATCATGAAAAGCCTATGTGCCATTACAGGCCCAAGGCGGCGACCAGATTCGGATCGAAGCTCTGACAACTCTTTCACAGCATTCGCATAGCCCATCTGAAAAGGAAATAAACAATGAGTTCGAGGTTTGCACTCTACCTGCAAGATACCTCTGAAAATCTTTTGCTCGCTAGTATTGGATTAGGATATTTTGCCATAATGGCACGTCGATGTGCATCATGCATACGAGCGATTACTGCTAACATCTTGTCCCACCAATCTTCAATCAGCTCCTCTGGTGCGCCATCTTTTATACCCTGCAAAGTTTTCTTCATCAGTTGGTGAATGAAATTACAGACGTAAAGCGTGGCTCAAATGCTTTTCGAAAAATAAGCAGCAAGCAGAAAAAGGCTTACTACCGAAAATATATCCTACCCTATACCTAATCTGAACCTGCAAAAAGAAATAGCTAAGGAAAGAAGCTTTGAGGAAGTCTTGAATATCTATCAATCAAACTTTATACAAACATGAGAACGCCTTTGGCGATATTGAGCTAAACAGAAGAAAATAAAAAGGATGAAAAATAGTGATTAGAAGGGGAGAAAGCATTGAATCACCTTCTCAACATCCACAATCAGACGATCTTGCTTGCTCGATGGTTTTTCTAGTTTCGCCAATGCGCGACTGATTTGCGCCAAATAAATGGCAAACTCTTTAGCGTTGTCAACATAGTTTAGCTGGGTTCGATAGTATTCGAACAAAGAGATTGATAAATCAAATAGCTGAAAATTTATTTGAATCAAAAGTACATGCAAAAACAGTAGGTGAAGTAAATTCGCATACGTTGCGGGATTGTTTCCCAAATATAATTATTACGAGTGTAGGATTAGGCAGTGAGTAGGATAACTTCTGGGACGTAACAAAATCTTCAAGGGTTTTGCTCTTCACTAATTCCTTGAACGAATCAGCAGAGATCACGACAGCAAAGACGTGTTGAAGGGCCTGTAACAATGCTGATGACTTCTCATTTTCTGAAGTAAGTTTTTATGTTTCTAGAACCGAGATGCTCTAAAATCTACATCAGAATCTGAGGATCAGACTCCCGGCAGTAAAATCAGTTTTTAAAATGAATTTCAGAAGACAGAAAAACGAAAAGGATTCAGTTTGAATCACTAGCAAAAACGGGACGTGATACAGCCGAACATCCTCAAAACAGGGCTCGGCGCAAGTGGCTTTAAAGAAAGCTGGATAACGCTTTTGGGACAAAAAGCAAAGGGGATGTCGTTTTTGCAAAAAAACACAACTTAGGTTACCTTTTTTGGTCGACGTTACGTTTTTTAGAGTTTTTTACGTTTAGTTTGGAGTCAGGTGACTTCATAAAAATTTTGTGAAAGTCGAAGGGGCTTCGTTTTTTGCATTTTCGAAAAGCCACCTCGTGCCGAGTCCTCCTCAGTAGTATAGACCTCCCTCTGCTTCCAATCCCAATTTTTTAACTAATGCAAAAATAACGAAGAGAAGTGACGAGAAGGCTTAACAATAATGAAATGTGAGCGACTAGCATTACAATAACTGCCGCATACCTCATACTCTCTCTTCGTTATGCCACTGTCCGTTTCTTCGACATCGATACACTTACGGTACCAGACAATCTGCATATCGTTTCGCTGCTCATCGCATATTAGTTGTTCTTGGAGATTACGCTGAAGAAACTCCATACGCGTGTTCAGTTCGGTATCAGCTGGAAACTTGAGATGAGACCATGATTTTACAGACCTTCTCAAACAAAAAGGGTAGATATTGTCATCACATTAGGATAAAACACGAAGTATAGGTGTAGGAGCAGATAAACCCACTAAAAGTATCGAAAACGAGTCGAGGCACATGACAATACATATAATGCTCGCATCTACTATTAATAGACGCATTCTTTTCTCTCTCGATGGCTTTCAGCTTTCGCTCGCGCTAAAGTAACCAGGATCGTTGAAGACGTAATCCTAATCCTTGCGACTCACCTCCTTTTGCAATTTGGCTTCGGATGGCTCCTTTCTTCTTTTCTTCTTGACCGGAACCTGGAACACTAACACTACACCAACAGACAGGGAAACGGTGAAACAATCAAACCTCAGGCTCCTCCGCTAAGGGAACAGTTTTTTCCTGTACGGCTAACACATCATCAGCAGGAATATTCTCCTGCACCATGATAGCACAATCATCATTGTCACTCCCACCCAAACCTAGTTTAGGTGATCGCCTAAAAAATTCCAATAAAACCCCAGAACCACTTGAAAGTATCTATAATTTGAAGACTTGCTTATTAACCGAGTTCGCTTTAGCCCTAGCAATCAGCTGCTCCAACTCCAAGAGTTTGTTGAAATTAGAGTAGGAGTCAGACGTGCTCGGCAGTTTGACGTGCTTGTCTAGTATGCTACCTGTGAAGAATATAGAGAGTAATGAAGCCGAAACAAAGTAAACCTGAGAAACCTGAGGTGCTCGGCCCCGGTTCATCTAGAATCTCGATTTCCCTGAGTGGGGCACTCCTTCGCACGGGTGACGGAGGTAAACATATACTCTCCTCTATCACTATTATATCATCATCGTCGTCCATCAGGTGCCTTGAATGATAGGTGATAGTGAAATTTAACCGCTTCTCAAAGACAACATTTGATGAGAGAAGTCAAAGTCTACACATGCTATGATAAGGTGAAAAAGCTATAGCGCATAGATAAGGGGATGAGCACCATGTCTCAATCTAAAAGTCAGCATACTAACATCTGGAGTAGAAATGTGTGAAAAACCCACACGACCCACCAATTTCTACTCAAAAACACTGCATTCCTGCCTGAAGCAGCGAGAGCAGCTGGTTTCTGCGACAATATATGACTCATCGAAAAAGAACATAAGACAAAGTAGAGAACTAAACTAGGACTGTAGGGGTAAAAGTTTACTGAAAAGCCTTCCGTCAAAAGCGATTTTCCGAATTGAAATCGTGCAATGGTACGCCTAATGCGTGCGGGTTGTGCAGTTCCACCAATGCGTTTGAACCGCCGAAACATTTTCTTATTTCGCTTGAATTTATCTTTTTTGGGGTTTTTACTGGCGTTTATAAGTAAAGTTTGACAATAAAGAATAACCCAGTTACTTCGAGTTGACCTGTCTCGCTCTTGTCTACTTTGAGGGGGTTCCAGACTTTTTAAAGTGTTTTGGAAATGGTTATTCGTAAGTGCTATTATAACAGAAGGTTTCACGCATAAAATATCACTTCATATTCTATTCATAGAAGCCTACCTTTCTTTTTCATTTTTGAACTATAGAAGTGACGTTATAGTTCAACCTGGCTTCTTGGACTTATCATTTACGGAAACGTTTCTCGCTGTATTTCTGGCCTCTTGTAGCTGGAAGTGAGTTCAAATTTACTAGCCACGTATTCGCCTAAAAAGCGTTGTATTCAGCTGCTATCTTCCTGGACTGGAATCACACCAGGCAATGGAAAGCCAGCGGCAGAAAATCAGTTCTACAAACTCAGATCCTTTCTCAAGAGCCAACAGCCGAACATGTAGTTCTACCATCTACCCGCTCATAATTTGATAAACTTATGGTTTTTTTTAGTTTTTCGCATGATGTGTGCCTATAGTACTTGGGTAATTGAACATTTCTACCTCTTAAGAGAGACTCGTTCATACTTGTGCATAGATGTTTGAAATTAATCCTTTGTTAGGTTTTTATGATGGATTTTGCGAATGATTTTGATAATTGCAATAAAACGTTGTACTATACTGATCTGTAGCAGGAATCACCTTACGAAGTCGACGCCAAGACCGCTTCAATATGAATGGCAAATTTTACGGTATTGGATTATAACGAAAATATTTAGATCTGAGGTTCTGCTCAAAATTGACATTAAAAGATTTGTAAGATTCATGGCAGTAGTAAACATTGCTGCTGCTAAACAGTGATAGTAATGTGTAACATCAACATCAAGATGCTACTGATCTGACGATGGAGGTCTGGAAGAACTGTCAGCGCTAGGTGTTTTCCAGTGGCGGACCCATTCTCAAAAGGGAAAGCGGGAAGCACTTTCGCAAAAAAAAATTTTTGAGGGCGTGGCTATTACCACGCCAAATCTCCTTTTCAGAATCTTGAGATGGCCCGCAAAAAAATTCGAAAAGCATCCCAAAACTCCTTCGGAGGCGTTGCCAACTTCACGCCTTTTCATTCACGAAAATTCCTTCCCCCCCCCCCTCGAAAAATTAAACTTCTTGGGCCGCCACTGTCACGAGGTATATCAAAAGAGTTCTATTTATTTTCAACAATGAAAAATATATTCCAGATTTTGTCGTTTTATTTTATACACTAACGCTTGACTTTGTGTCTTACGAGACGAATAAAGGGTGTGTTTATACGGTAGAGTTATCGACGAAATGTCTTGTGATATTGTAAGAAACACAGAAAGCTCTGTTAATAATGGGAATTAGCCATATGTCCTATGTTTGATTTAGATCAAGCGATTGATGCCGACTATCAGAGGCTCTTGGAAGTACTAAGTATGTTTTTCGTGCTTTTGAGAATTTGAAAAATATTTTTATCTCCCATTGTAACACTCCAAATAGTGCCAGTTTCCCTAGGCACTGCCGTAAGCACATGCCGAAACAATTTGCTGGGAAAGCAAGGCAAGGTCATCCTGCCTAAGGTCGAACCATGAGGGTTATATAATCACTTATAGCTCGTTAGAGAGTTTAGCAATCCATCACATTTTTTCTTCGTCATTCAAATCGTAGCTCATGGATAAATCGGTATCCTTCTTCAATCATCCTCCACCGTCACATCACATTCCTCCAAATGTAAGTGTTATAATTTCTGATCGGTTTGAAATCCATGATGCAAAAAATTTTGTAGATGGCTTATGTAAACAACGTACTAGCCGCTCAAAACGATGCCATTTACAGAAGACATTGCAATTTTGTGAGTAAAAATTTCTTCAGAAAATTTTGAGAATAAAACTTTAGAGCAACCTCATTTTGTAGACAAATTTGCCGCTCCAACAGCTTCGTCACGCATCTCGAGAAGACGCCATACTTCGTGATGAACTGAGAGAAACTCGTAGGAGATTGACAATGATGGAGAGAAGAATTGAGGAGTTTGAGGTGAAACACTATTTTATGTCGAATGAAATTAATGAAAAATTGATGCAAGTTCTTCATGCTGCCGCAGCGTAGTGAATAAAATAGGTAATAAATGAAAAAAAAAATGCGAAAAATATTGCTTGAAAGCAAATTCCACAAAACGATGTTAAATTCGCGAAAAAATTGTTGCTAAAAAATACTAAAAGTTAGATCTTTGTTCAAATCGTACAATATTTCACTACACGCCTATTCAATGTCTCTCGCAAAACGTGAAGATTTCCTTGAATGTCTCAAAACTGCGTAACTTCGCGACATCCCGGGATTTCGCGGAATCACGCGAATTACGCAAGCTACCCATCTCCATAAATTCCTTCGGGGTGAATATATTATGAACCGAAAAAAGCACTGTATTCAGATCATCAAGGCGAAACTTTTGATGCACATCGTGCCCTTGATATTCCCTTTCCAGCTTTCCCACGTCTTTTCAAGGACGTATATAATGCAGTGTCGCACATAAAGGATTTCATTAAGCACAATCCGATAGTACTGTTCATAGATCATCGAGTATTAAAAAACAGCCGGGGATTGTTTTTTTTTCAAAGGAGGTAGAACAGTGTTGAATTCTGGAGAATTCATGTCGTCCCAGATTCTATTACCATAACCTAAAATATGAAGCTCTCCTGCTAAGCAGATATGATTTTCGTAATCAGCAGGTCAGATAACCTCCATGGGCAGGTTTCCCTAGGAGTCCTATGTACACTTATTTTTCCCAGGTTTGAAGACTGTGAAAATGAAAATCTTAGGCTTTTGCACATGAAATGCTGGGCTTTTCTCACATGAATCCTGTACTACAAAGATTTGCAAGTGCAACCATGAAGTATTATGAGGTTAGCAAAGAAAATCGAAAACGCTATGTTTTTGTGTTTCAGTCTGATTTTGCTTTTTGTGATTTTACCGAGAAAAGATTACGATAATTGTGCATATGAGCGTATAATGTCTAGAATATGTGTGGGCATATTGGAGGTTCGTAGGGTTTTTCACGGATTCGGTTGTACGTTTTGAATCTCTAGCTTTTTTGCTTCAGACTTCACGTGCGATCTTTGTGCAATCCTTGAAGGTTATCTTGCCGGGATTGCTTTGCTCTATCAAATAAATAGTCACGCTTTTATTTACACTGTCGCGGTGATAGGAGGAACAATTCCGTTTTTTGTTTAATATAATTTACATAGCTGCAAAACGATATTGTGCACTTTAGAATCAGGTACACCCCAATAAAACAAGGCAACACTCCAATTTGAAACGAGGATATGAATCTGCATTACACGAGAGCTCCGTTCAGAACATGGTAAGTCTTAGGATTTGTATCATGAAGATCTAACTGTAAAACTAGCAAAATCTATCAAATTTTTGTAGCAGAGATTTTTACTATTACATTTATTATTATTTTTCTTCAAAGTTAAAGAAAGCTCGATTTTTCGATTACTCTGCAATTGAAATCATGACAATTTTTTAATGAAGTTCTCCTTTAAAACATTATCAGATGTTCTATTTTTGCCCGAAAAGAAAGTGGTGATTTTTTTTCCAGAGACCACAGCACCCACTTTCGCAGGTCCCTACAGACAAGCCAGAACCCGATCTTTCGTCTTGGCTCATACAGCAGGTCTGGAAGGGTTGAATTTTTGAATCAAATCAGCTTGAATCTTTCAGAGGCAAAATTGCGAGCTATGGAATCAAAATTTTGCTCTGAAAGAATGTCTCAGAAATATCGAGTTGGAAAATAGCGTGCTCAGAGAGATGTGTCGTCAGAAAGAGGTGAAAAATAATAATAACACTATAACTTTGAGGTCATGTATACTCCTTTTTCAGATAAACATTTCCTTGCTGGAAAAGAAAACACGAGAGCTGAGGAGCGATCTTAGTTTTTATTCCGACTTAAGACATGATACAAAAGAAGTAACGCAAGCTTTTAATTTCAAGCCACTAAAGGTTGGAGGCTTTTTTATGTGGAAAAGATGAAGGATTTTTTCATAATTGTCCATTTTTTCAGAAGGAGGAAGCGAAATCCTACAAATGCACTTGCGGGCAGTGCTGAAACTCTACAGCTTTTTTGATTCTGTACATTATGAGCAATTTCACTCTCTTTGTGATATCCTTGTTTATTTCTGTACTGGAGCATAATGTGTTCTTTATTGCTGGAAACCATGCTATTTACAGCATTTTTTTTTCTGGGAATAAAGGAAGATAAAGCAACAGAAAAGCTGCATTGTTCTCGAATGACACCCCAAAGTGGCCGTAATCTCCACCTGATCAAGAAATCGTATAGAACGGCACACATCGCGCAGTGTAACGCGATCTTGGCTGATTTTGTTCTTTCGTCGCTATTAATTACGTATAGGTAGCCACAGCTATGACACAAACCAAACAAATGCTGCCACAATTAGAAGGTGAACAGCTCAACTAAGCACGAACAGCTCAGTTGTAGCCGCGCTGGCTAGCTTGACTGGTCGTGCTGCGGATTTTGTACTTGTTCTCTCATTTCCTCGCTTTCACTACAAAGCTGGTATATTTTATTGTTTCAAGAAATATTCAAAAAGTTAAGAACAGCAGTATAAAGCTCGTAAAAAATTCTCAATAATCGGCTTAGTCTTTCGCAGTCATTGTTACAGTCCTTGCATTCTTCCATCCATTGGTCCGAACTATCTTGTGCTCTAAATCGCACTTTCTGACAAAATCACTGCAAACAGTAAATATAATCTGCCATAATTCAAAAAATATAGTCTACCATAATTGGAAACAGAATCCTTTGCAATTAATAGAGAAGTTGGCTCCAAAAGTGATTTTCATTACATAGCGTATTAACAATAAAGTTACTGCGTTCATAGGTATTCTTTCAATCAAAGTCCGGAAGAAACAATTCCAGAAAAGGAAAGAATAGAATAAAGATGTTCATACTGATAAGCACGTCTGGAGGAGTTTGAAGGTATGTTCTTTTTGAATGGAGCAATCTGTGTCAATAGAAGTTGACAATCTTTTCGCCTACAATCACCCCTTCACTTCTACCATTTTTTTGTGCAAAAAATTGGGTTAACATTGGAATATATGAAAAGAATTGGTTTATCAGTGAATGATATCATTGTAGTTAGTTAGTGGATGAAAAATTGAATATCTATGCTTATACTTGTAATTAGCTGCTGCTACACATTCGTGCATTTGTCGATTCCCTACAGATTTTTCCAAAAAATGAAGAAAAATGTACTAAAAAAGGAGAAGTTTTTGGAAAATAGTTTCACTGTTAATCGTTGGTTATTGGTAAAAAACATCAGGGTTTGTAAATCAAGAAATCTTTGCGTAAGAGAGTTTCCCATTTGCGCTTTTTAGAATTAGACGTGATTTTGTAGTTGCTGTGAGATTTCGAATGTAATCATGAACAAAACAATTACTCACTTATATCATTTGATGAGTTTTTCGTAGAGTTACTTATACTTCATCATTGCTCTCTCTCACAGAAGGCAAAAAAGCGAGCTACAAATGCGATGAAAAATAATTGTTGTGCGTGCCTTTGGCGCACTTGTCCGTGCAGATCTCAACTCTGCTCCGGAAATGATTACACGCTTGTCGACTGACCACTAGCTCGCCAGAATTTCGTGGTCAATTGTCGACGACATGTTTCTATAGCGACCCCTCACCCCTCCCCCCCCCCCCCCCCTCCTACCCCTAAGGGCTTCGTCGCTTTGGTCAAGGGTAAGCTATGCGTGTGGACATTCGTTGATTGCTTCGCACCAGGATTATCCTAATTGCACCTGTTTCAAATCATACCGCTGCATATGGCTATTTATGGAACCTAGAGCGTTCCAGAGCTCTAGGAACGCGTTCTCAAATTTGCTGAACCATACTCTCAGTCCGTTTCGAGCCATCATCTTCCGTTTTAATTTGGACAAAAACTCGAAGGAGCGTAAAGTTAATGATTTGGCATTATCATCACTGACAATTTTGCACTCTGCTCTCCTTTAAGAAAATAATTGTGGATTTATTCACCTTTCTGAATTATTCTGCATTTTTTCAGAACTTCCTGGTTTGCCTGAGTGCCGCTCAAATCGTTGAATTTTTGAGTTTTGAACGCTTGGTACACCATCATTAATGTAATTAAAACTGTTGAGAAGAGATCTTTTTCTAAGGAAATTTTATACATTTCCCTTCGCAAACTGGTTTCGTATCTCCAAACATTCAAGACCTAATATAATTATTTTGAAAGCGTATATTTACCCTCTTATCCAGTTGGAATTACTGACTCATTATTCTAACGTTACACTTTTCCATTTCGGGTTCTTGCTTTGGTTGATAAAACCTTAATCTTAGATTCAGCAATTTCACTCATAAGTCACTTGTGTTAGCCGTGTAGATAGAATAATTCATAAGGTTCCATAGATTCTTTATTGCCTTTTACAGCACATTTGTGCAAGCGTTCTTGACTAGTTAGATTTCCCACATCTTCATAATTACATGATTTTTTTACATCTAACTTGTGCTAATCACGATTACTGCTGTTGCTAGGGGCCCTAAAGTACAAAAGTGCCACGCAAAGTACAGTAGACTTCAATGTCTATCGATAAGGTACGCCTCCGTACTCTTGAGTGCAGACATTTCTAGACTTTTCTGTCTATAAATGTCTGAAATAAATATCTTTATAAAAATCTTATAATGAACTCGTTTTTTACAGCTTGGATTATCTCAGTTTCTTGGATATGACTTGTTTCAAAACTTATAAGTCTTCCACAAACAATCTCACAAAAGCGTTCCTTTCACAAGTTTTATGACTTTTGTTGTGATTTTGTCTGGCTTTAAATCGACAACTTTTCCGTGAACTTCTCCCTTAGAAACATTCAAAGGTGAGGCGAAAGACCAGCAAGACCAATTTGTTGTGAGCTGTCATCAAGCCACGGAAGTGGAGTTTCTATGTGCTAGGCACGCTCGAGACGTTCTTAAACTTTCCTAGACCTTCAGAATTTTGTTCTTCTGCGATAATCGATGGTACTCAAGTATGCGGCAATTATAGTAATACCTAGTAGTACCCACATAGTCCTCATTGATAGTCGTGACAAGTTTCTCTGGATGCACTTTCGCAATGTTCTACCTCGAATAGTGTTAATGAATCGTCAGTAATTATCAGGTACCATGAAGCTGGCTAATTATTAATCTTTCCCTTGTTTCACCTCCGAATTCCCCTTTGGTAAATTAGCTAACGGTGATGGTGATCAGAGGCCATTTGCATAGTCTAAGCAGAGGACCATGGTTGTTGTTATTATGTGGTGTGGAATTTACTATTACTTTTATTCGAGTTGTCTCAAAAATAGGTGTTCAATAAGAGAAAGGAAGATAAAATTACGATGTGTGCTCAGTTTTTGTCTCCTTGTCATGATCCAGTTCTTCGGTTAGCATTCGTTCCACTTACATATTTCCTATCATCAACTCGAAAATATATCAAATCCATACTCCATTTGATACAGTATTCGATTATACTGCCATGACTTCGTCGAATGCTGAAAGGCTCTTTTTTATTGCTAGTGAACTCAGACAGAAGTGGATTCTCACACAACAGGAATCATTTTCTCCAGTAATCATTCTCTCCGGTTTTCCTTGCGTTTCTCTTTTTGAACAATCTCGTGTAAACGTTATATTATTAGAATTATCCAGATATGTCGTGTAAAAGTATATGCAATACGCTTTTGCTGCTATTTTTGGTTATATCTTGTGCTGTGCTATTTATACTACAGTCACTTTATTTTATCTTCCGAAACGCAGCAGATACTGAGAAGGAACTCATCAAACGGTAAATTTCAAGCTGAACATTGCTCTAAGATTATATCGAACTTTAGTGTTGATGGAACACCTCTAGCACTGCCGACTCTAATAATTTGTAATCGCATGCCATTCTCTCAGGATGGCGTCAATTCTGTGAGCGCAAATTTGCGGCAAGATCAAGCATTGAGGTAGGATTTGCAAAGTTTTGGATTCAATCTGGAATTTGGATTGACTAAGTATTACATCAAGTATGAAATCAGTCATCAGGAGTACGATTCACGGCTAGCTTTCTACATTTTTGAAAATTTACATCACTTCACAAACGAGCTTTTTTTCTCGGATCTTACAGGTTCAACTGTCTTAATTTTATTTCAATTTTCAATCTCAAAGTAACTTTTTGATGCAAAATTTGCATCTAAACTTTTCGAATAAGATTTTTTCCGGACCTCTTTACAGTTTCATTTTTTTGTAGAATTTGTCTGGAGTCATGGGCATCGATAATAAGAAAAATCTGATAATGATAATAGGTTACAAGTTCATCTTTCCAGATATTTGCTTGAATGGACGAATCCATCTATGAGTGAAGACGCTGATTATATGCCAATGACTCAGTCGTATTTGGTACAAGGTAAGTTTGAACACAATCAAAGAATACAAAGAAATCTATCAAACGCAGTTATTTGTTAATCCTTGTAGGTTTACATTAATCATTTCCAGTTCTAGCTAGGAGTTACAACTTAATTATTTGAAACGTTGTGTACAAAATTGAACAGATTTTGTAAACTGTCATTCTCCAGGACAAACTATCGCCTTTCAATATCTGCCTCAGAATACGCGGAATCAAAGTCTGAATCAAATGCAGTATGCTTGTCAGAGTGTCATCAACAGCTGTAGTTATCAGGTAAAACCTTACCACTATTTTTTAGGTTTTCTCATGATTTAAACTTTGCAAAAAACAAGAACGAGAAAAGCTGCTCTATGGCAAATCAACTTTTCAATAATTCAAATATTCGAGCATTTTTCATATTAAAATAATACTTGTATTCGAGGGTGCCAACGTTCAAGCATACGAATGCTGCAATAATATACTATATCATGTGCCTACTACTCATGGACTATGTTGGGTGTACCAAGACCGAGCGAGAGTGCAGAATGTATCCTCGCCAATTAAGCAATTCTCCATAACATTCCAGGTTTGAAAATCCAAAATTTTCTCAACCCTAAGTCTCAAAAGCAAATGCAGATGTCAAGAAACTCGTGGTACTCGCAGCAGATCACTCCCACCCACCCTGGTGTAGATGTGTTCCTTCGTGAAAATGCAGATGACCTTGTTTCGATTGTAAACGAGCTAGAAAATCCAATACGGCTTTTGGATAAGAAAGGAGTTCGCTTAAGAATGCATAAGGAGGTAAATATCTATTATTCTTATATAAAAAATTGTGCAAATGAATTAATTTACAGAAGAAAGCTGACAGTCGCCGTGGTCATTGCGGTGAAAGCTTGGGTACTGCTGTGTCAGCTGACCAAAGTGCTTTCGAGAACAATCAGACAAATCTGCTTATGTGTGCCATTATGGTAAACCTTTGAAATTTTTTTTGAAAATCATTCCGTATGAGAATCATTATTGGCAGGTCTCAATACAGTACTGTAACTGCCACCCACTCATTGCCGAAATGATACCTTACGACACACAAAAGTTCAAGTGGGGTTCTTGCAGAAATTATAGTATGCTTCGTATAATTTTATAATTCAGTGACTTTTCCAATCGAATAACGTCAACACAAGTCTGCACACTGGAGCAGTATGAGTCATGCACGAAAAAGTACGTAGATATCACCCGACCTTCTGCATGGATAGACTCCATCCCGAATACTCTTCTCGGAGCTGAAGATATTAGACAGTGTTATAGGTAAGCAATTTCATATTTTTATAATGTATAATTTGATAATGACTTAATAACAGCGGCCCTAAATCTTGTTTCATAATTTCAAATGCAAAATAAAGAGAAGAAAACGAGTCCATTTTGATCAAATGTCGATAAGTGTTGACAACTCCAGTAATGTTTATTGAGTTGTACATGTACTTAGAAAGAATAAACAAAAAAGACGGCGGATTCCAGCAGTTAACTCACTTGGCCAAGCATTTCAAAATAATTTAGGGATAATCCCTACCCTTGCGCGGTAACCTCATATCCTGGCACGATTGATCACTACGATCTTCCGGCAGCTTATCAGTCGACACAAGTAAGTCTTTGATCACATTTTCGACTCAAAAGCAGGCTGAAATGAAATCCAAATTTAGGACTATGTGTCACGACTTGTGCTGGAGTATGCTACAATGCATGTGACAGAAGTGCTAGTGACAAAAGATCCTACTCTCTATGAATTATTGAGCTATATTGGTTACAATATTGCTACATGGTTTGCTATAGGACATATCATTTGGTGAGAGTTTCTTTTGATTATTCACAAAACAGTTCGGTGAGTGATATAGTAAAAAAATTAGATTTCATGCAAAGTGGCGTGTGTAAGAAAAGAAAGTTTTTTAAAAAGTATTTTCGATAACCCTACATATTTTGTTAAATAAAGAAAAACCGAAAATAGCAGTTTTCTCTGCAGTTTTTTTTCGAGCTTTTTGTTTCAATAGTTTTGAGCTTCCCCAAAAACATTAATGATTTCAGGAGTATCTACGCAATGATTCGTGATGCTGTATGCACTTCAAATAAGGTTGGCCCCAGAAACTAGTAATCCATCCATAATATCATACAACATATGCTATAGTATAATCAAATTATATTACAGCCATATGCTGCATAGTTGTTTATATATTTTTACAAATCTTCCAGCTCAATGTAAGTGGTCCTCTGCATTATTCGCAAAAAATTTTGAATAGATTTTGTTCACTAAGTAGTCAAATGAACCTATAATTTGTAGAAAACTTCATTCACCCTTCAACCTCATTCTCACAATTTTATGCTAAAAAACATTAACTAATATCTATAAGAAGTTGATAACCTTTAGGTAAACCCCAGCTCACCCCGACGAGTATTCATATCGACGCCGGTTGAAGTGATCCCAGCAGAAAATGGCAAAGCAGAAGTCACTGTTGAGGAAGAGGAAGGCACTTCTTGATTCTAAAATCAATTTCTACAGATAACGTAAAGTCAGGGTTATGGATCTCTTTCATTTTGTTGCCGGTGTAGTAATATTGTTATGCCCTTGTCTAGTTATGATTCTGTACTTTGTGCCATATGATTTGAAAAGTCAATTGTGAAAAATTCTTATTCAATATAATCTGGTGCTCGCAATCTCCTACATAATCTTTTCAGGAAAAATTTATAATTGCAGACTGAAAGATTGTTCCAATTCTCTTGATTTTGAGAGATTGTTCTTTCGCTACAATCATATTGTCATATCCAGTAATCGTTATTTTGCATAATATATGGCTAATAACATTTTTACTGAGTACAGCCACACATATCGCTTGTCTAAATATTTTTTTCTTGATAAATTTCTTTTTAAATTTAGTTTGCTAAACTTTTGCTAATAAAACCTCAATATACAGACATAGAGACTGAAGTAGATCCCGTCCCCGGGAAAAATGCAAGTACTAATTAGACCGACTGTTTGATGTAGTGATTTGAGGTTCAGAACGCGGAGCAGGTGAGATGAAGATTGAAACGTTTTCTAATGCAGGTGCTTGATCCAATCATCTTTAATTCTTCATTAACACATTGACGACCATGCAGATTTTTAGTTGTCTGCCGTCTGGGACCAATGCCGTCTACGGACCAGCCCACAGTTCTCAACTATAATTAATTATAATGATGCCATCTACAGTACACCTACAGTATATCTGAAAGGCTGACAAAGAAAGTAGAGGTCATCCCCAGGTTCAGTGCAAAAGAGAGCTCATGGAATGAGTTTATCGCGAGATAGTAGTCATTTTGACAGAATTCAAACATTGACACACATGGTGTGTCATGCGGTCCCACGCGGCAGTCACTGCTTGACACACCATGTGTGTCAGGCTGTCGTCAATGTGTTAATCTGCGTCATTTATTTCATTCGATTTTTGAAATGAATCATTTCAATGGACTGGAATAAAGCCCTCAACCTAACGTATACGGTACCTTCACATGCGTTCTGCGTTCCTAAACATGGTAAAGAGTGGGGCCAGGCGAGCCCGATCTGGGATCGACCTGAGAGTGAATGGGGGGGGGGAGGGGTGGAGAATCGTAATTGAGTGCAGACTTCGTTGAAAAATCTTAAGAGGATGTAGTAAGGTACAATAGACGGGTGAATTTCATATTCTTTTCAAACTTTAACCCCAGTGTAGCGGTTATGATGAGTGATTGCGGCTATGAGCACTTCAAAATCAGTTCACTGTACGAAGTTGCAACAAGCCTCAGAGTTTTCTCTTTGCCGTACACCTACCGTAAGCTCACCAGAGTGTTTCTTCCATGTGGAATGGACGAATCTTTATAATCATGTCAAATTATCTCTGCCAAAATCTCGAGCATCGCGTTTCTCACCATGAGTGCTTTCACTTTATAACCACCAGAAAGTCAAAGAAGGCGTTGGTGCTATCGAAAGATATACCTAAGATATAGGTGAAAAAGCTCATTTGGAGATGAAGTGAACGCTGTCAGGCACAATCATTCAAAACCATGTGCTTTTGTAGCCTCGTGCCTTACCCACTCGATCCTACAGAGTATGCAATCTTATATATAAAGCTGAATGTCTATTTGTATGTATGTCTGTATGTATGTCTGTATGTATGTATGTACGTATGTTCCAAATAGAAAATTCCATTTCTGAACCGATCGGGACCAAACTTAGCACACATACACTTCGGGCCCCGGCGGGTGTCATAGGCTACTTTTCGTCATCCATCGACATCGATTTTATCGATTTTTTGCAAAATTTGAGCTAGGGGGCTGGAATTTGGCAGAGGGGTGTAATCGAGCCCGTGGGGGTGATCAGCGTGCTCGATTACCCCCCTGTGCCAACTCCCAGCCCCGTAGCTCAAATTTTGCAAAAAATCGATAAAATCGACATCGATCGATAACGAAAAATGGACTGTGACATCCGCCGGGGCCCGAAGTGTATGTGTGCCAAGTTTGGTCCCGATCGGTTAAGAAATGGAATTTTCTATTCGGAACATACGGCGGAGCCGGGTAAGCCAGCTAGTTCTTGATATAGCTATTGGGCTTAGCACCTGTTCCCTGCCATCTTAAGAAAATGGTTCCCAGACCCTTCACAAGTGGGAAAATCATATCTTTAAAAAGGCGCTGGTTCAGGAAAAGTCATGCGTCATCGGCCCTATGTAAGATTGGAGTCCCAAAATCGCACATTTGCCCAGATTTTCAAATGCAGCTTTCAAAAGCCATTCACTAGTACAAAAAACAAAGCGGAGCTGAGATCGCTCGTGAGGCAGGTGTTTTTACAGTAGCTCACACTTCGTAATTAGCATTAGTCGCCTTCTGCCCATTACGAATAGTCCATGCAGAATGATAGAGGTGCGATGATTTGGACCCACACCCAACTGTGTATCGAACCTTCATGATGTTCCTGTCCATCGTGACACCAATCTTTGATGCATATGCTATTTTCTGTATTATAAAGAAATCTACAAAGCAATTGGCTTCTTATAAATGGTGGCTCCTTGCTTATCAGCTAACTTCCTCTGCCTTTGACTTTGTATTCACGACTCTTACATCGCCTGTCGTCTTCTTTCCCATCCTCATGGTCCATGCCGATTCGTACCTAGCGAGGTGGATTTCCCTGTCTACGGTAACCAGTATTCGTATATTCCTATCCTGTCTCGAGCTCCTTCTCTTCACCACTTTGAATCTGTTCATATATCGATATTATTTATCGACTCCGCAAAATCATGCTCTGAAAATGTGTTTAAGAGGTAATCTGTTAACAATATCTCTTATTGTTAGCGCAGGAGTGACACTCCACTCATTTTTGCTGATTAGTTTGTTTCAAGGGCCATGGATATACTTAGCCGTGCTATTCATTTGTTGTGTTCCTTTATCTATAGGGCTGATAGACTTTGTTCCGGATCAAGTAGAAAGCAGAAAGTGGGTACTGGAAGTAAGCCAACGCAATAACTCTTCACCGCAAATTACATCCAGTGCATAATCATTCTGTCTGCTGCAGGAGTATTCTTGTGCGAAGACAGCGATAGATGAACCAAGGATCGGATTTGGCACATGGGGTAGTCTTCGACATATTGCTGTGATCGGAGCTACGCTTGACGCATTTGCGGCGTTTGTTGTTGCCTGCACACTATCGTCATCTTTCCATTTTCTAAGTAAAACAAAACACGACTCATGCAAAGACGTTATTTAATTTCACTTTGTATTCAAGTGAGTTCTGAAAATTCGTTTGTCCAAAATCCGTTGTTGTATTAAGGTCTCAGTTCCATTGGTCACACTTGTTTACTTGTCTGTGTCTTTCTAATATTATGGTTTGTAATTTCATATCCAATAGGACAAGGTAAGAAATCAAGCGTTATGGATCGTAGCTCAGGAGAAACTGAAAAGAGTGCTTGCCTTTTTATGTGTTGGAAATCTAGGTGTGAGCTTTACAGGACTTCATTGTCTCATAGCTCCTCTTTCGCTTATTTTGTGCAACAACACATATCGTACCTACACGATCAACAAATTCAAATACTGTAGGTTATAAAGCGGTAATATTGTAAGGTGCATTTTAGGCCCGTATGCACGTACATCCCGCGGGGAGGGGATGTGCGATTACCATTGAAATGATCCTCGCTGATACGGGGCTCCCCTCCCCTCCCCACGCGAACCCCCGTATGCACAAGGATAATATCGGAGAAGGGATCCCCTAGGAATAGGGGAAGTGAACCCCCGTATGCAGAAGGGGTTCGAACAGGAAAGTCACTTCGCTTCCGCTTTTCCGTGATAATTTTCCCTCTGTTCTCATCTTTTGACGGCTACTCGTCTTCATTCTGTCATCGGAGTTACTTTAGTCGTTACGGAATGCGCTCCTATAGTAATTACGCTTGACGCTTCAAAAATAATATTTTTACGCCCATTATACCTGCTGTTTTCATGAACGCTGCTTACTTTCGCTCATGCTGCCCATTTCAGTGTGAAGGTGTTTAACAAGAGAAGTAAGTATGTCTCTGCGGTTGAATGGGTAGAAAACGTTACGCTGCCGAAAAAGAGGGGAGGGGGTGTCGCATACACTCAAACCAGCATATCTACACATAGCAGAAGCTTTAAACCGTTCCAGCTCTTCTTGAAGGCTGTAGCTATTAGCGCCATACCGTCCATTTCCCCAAGGGAATGATCCCCAGCGGCCATCCCTGCTATGCGCGAGGGGAACGCTGGGGAGGAGATCACTCCCCCGGGGATCTCTACTCAGAAATAAGCAAATCTGCTACTTTCCAAATTTTTCCAAGACAGTTTATGTTAAGATAACTAAATAAAGGCGGTATATCATGTAATATGATAGCTACAATGTGTTTAATCGGCTTATATAGCTAAAAGTATCATGTCATGAAAAATGCGCGAATTTCTTGGATGACCAAGAACTCCTGCAAATATTCAAAATTGGCAGCTATTGCATGCTCGGATTTCTTCTCAAGAAGCGAATATAGAATAGAGAAGCAAGATTGCAAGCTGCAGGTAGCTGAGAGAGGAACCCAGCTTCCAAAGGAAATCTTTTATCAAATTTAACGAAAGCTTGGTAATAACTGATTGAAACCAGAAGATTCGCTTCTCTGGCATGACTCACACCACCCAACCACTACTCCGTTGCAGGGAATGTCGATCCCCCCCCCCCCGCGTTGTTGAGCTACATTCGTGCATACGGGGTGGGGAGGGGAAGGGATCCCCGGTGGGGTTCGTTCGATCGATACTCAACGCGCTGAATTTGAGGCTACGAAAGAATACCGCAAAGAGCTGGCAAACGTTGAAAAAACCACGGAAACTACAACATGCTGCATCTACACGAATTATTTTGTAGGAGAATACATTGCCATACAATTGCAGGAAAATCATAACATGAACTGCTAAATAGACTCACATTACTTCAAAATTCATCATTATTACTACCGACAGCAGGTAATGAGTATAAAGAAGCCTTAAAAC